ACGTCAGAAAGCGAAATGGAGCGTCTAGCGAAGAAGCGGAAGCTAGAGCGGGGGAGTGAGACGAAAGACCTCTTCGGAGGGGAGTTAGTCACGCAGCGGACTAAGGAGAGGCAGATGGAGGGGTAATAGCAGCAGCTATATCAATATCCTTATCATGTCATTAATACTATATCTACCGTTTTTGGTGAAGACGTTGGTGAATCGTCGTTTTGAGCGTGCAGATAGGCGCAATTAGATGGAAAAGCATATTGTTAATTACTTTATTCATTTAAAAAGTGGGGTCTTGGTTGTGCAAATATCTCAATTGGATCTGGTATTATATTGTATCTGTATATTTGAATAAATTTCAGAAGTGATACTACTACCAGTTGACCTCGGCTTGGGAGAGTACTAGTATCCAGGCTTATACTACCTGTTATAGGCACAGTAACCTAGTTGGATAACTAGACGACCATCGGACCCGGGGAATTCAGTAGGCCACATATATGTACTTATTATCGTGATAATACGAGGGTAGACATTCTACATAGATAATAATGTCTACGTAACTCTGAAAGTAGTATAGCAAGGGAATAATATCAAATTGAAACCCTCAAACGCTCAAGTCTAGTTAGGGGGAGTGACGATGAAGGTATGAAAAGATGAAGCACAGACCATCTAAAACAAAGCACCCAAATGTGTAGTGGTAGTAATGAGCAAAGATATCTCCAGGTATTTAAAAAAAAAAAAAGGAAAAATAAAAAACGGATAACCTTCCGCGCGAATGTCATTCATCAGGATGGTTCATCTCTCCTGTAACGGTAAAGAGAAACTTTTTCCTTCCCCTTACAAGCCTTTTTTATATTTGCATGTGTGTGTCGTCTCGAACATTCCAATCATAAACAAGAAGATTAATCACTTCTTCCTTTTTTTTTTTTTTTCAGTGGTTTGTACCTTAGACAGCACCCTCGGAAATCATCTTCTTGCGGAGGTGGTTCTTGTACTCGCCGATAGTACCGTCCCAGCGGGTGATGGTCTTGTTCTCGCAGACCATGATGTCCTTGGCGATCTTGTCGAGGAGACGGAAGTCGTGGGACACGACGACAACACCACCGCTGAAGGCGTTGATGGCATCGGCCAAACTGTCAATGGTAGGGATATCCAGACCGTTGGTAGGCTCGTCCAGCAGGATCATGTTGGGCGACTCAATGGCCAACAGGGCGAAGACGATACGAGACTTCTGACCTTCGGACAGAGTACCCATGAGGGCAGTCTGGGCCTCACCGCTGAGGCCGTAACGGCCCAGCTGCTGACGCCAGTACTGGTAGTCCTGGGACTTCTCGGGGAACTTGTCACGGACGAACTCGAGGGCAGACTTGGTCAGATCCAGCTGCTCAGCAGAGTGCTGGCTGTACATGCCCAGCTTCAAGTGAGTGTGACGGGAGACACGACCGCCGATGGGGCTCAGCTTGCCGGTCATGATGCGCAGCAGAGTGGACTTTCCGACACCGTTGGGTCCGACAAGGGCTGTGCGGGAGTCCATGTCGACACCGAAGTCCAGATGCTCGTAGAGAGTGTCCTCCCACTTGCCAGAGTAAGAGAAAGAGACGTCGTCGAAGGACAGGACGGGAGGAGGAAGCTTCTCGACATCGGCGAAGCGGAAGCTGAAGACTCTGTCGGGGATGACGGGCTGGATGAAACCATCGGCCTCCATCTTGTCCAGGATCTTCTGACGGGACTTGGCCTGTCTGACCAAGTTGGCGTAGGTACCAGCGGAAGCAATGAACTTCTTGATGTGAGCAATTTCTTCCTGCTGCTTGTTGTAGGCCTTCATCTGGTTCGTCTCCTGTTCGGCGCGAGTCTTGTGGTAAGAGTCGTAGTTACCACCGTAGTAGAGGAGCTGCTTCATGCGCATGTCGATCATGTTGGTGCAGACACCGTTCAGGAAGTCCATGGAGTGGGAGACGAGGATCAGGGTACGCTCCCACTTCTTGAGGTATTCTTCCAACCACACACAAGCTTCGAGATCCAAGTGAGCGGTGGGGTCGTCAAGCAGAAGCAGGGAGGGTTTGACGAAGAGGGCCTTGGCAAGGGCCACACGCATACGCCAACCACCAGACATGTCCTTGGTCTTCTTGTGGATGGTCTGCTTGTTGAAACCCAGACCGGTCAAGATCAAGGAGGCACGGGTGTGGAAGGTCGAGGGATCCATCTTGTCCATACGCTGCAAAAAAAGAGTTAGAGAACCAAACAAGAGATGAAAGAGGTGCGATAGCGGGGACAACTCACGTCGTACAGATCCTCGAGGATAGGAGAGTCAGGACCCTCAGTCTCGAGGAGTTCTTCGGCCTGCTTCTCCATGCGGTCGAGCTGGTTCTGGGCCTCGGTGACAACCCACTCAAGGGCACCGAGCTCACTGGGAGGGGCACCCTCGTTCAGAAGGTAGATATCAATGTGCTCGGGGATGGGGTATTCGCGAGTGGCGATAGACTTGAGGATGGTAGACTTTCCGCAGCCGTTCTCACCGAGGAGACCATAACGACGACCGAAGTTCAGTTCGAGAGTCGAGTCGGTAATAAGAACCTTTCCGTGGAACACCAGGGAGGCGGAAGTGACCTTGACGTCGCGAGAGGAGGGCAGAGAGGCGAGGACACCGGTGGTGACACGATCGGAGAGACCGTGCTTGTCCATCTGAGCAGTCAACTTCTCAACCTCCTTCATCTTCTCGTCGGTGGTGGCAGGCTGGTCATCGCCGGCCTCACCGTCGACGACGGGGTCGTCCTTCTTGCCCTTAGTGGCCTTCTTCTTGTCGCCATCGGCGGCACGCTTTGCCAAACGAGCGGCTTTGGAGGCAGACACCATCTTGTCGGATAAGCGAGTTGTTGATGGAGGAGAGGAGAGGAGAGGAGAGGAGGGGGAGGTGGTGGTGGGTAGGTTAAGGCGGAAAGGGAAGAGGAAGGGACGGTCAGGAAGCCTAGATAAAAGCTGTCCGATGAAGGCGAGAGAGGAAAAGGGAAAAAAAGAACCTGAGCGAAGGTGGACCAGCTAATAGCGGGGGGTGGGAGGGGGGCGACCGAAAGTCTTCTTCTGAGTGGGGGGTGGTTCCTTGGATAGCCCTTATCGATAGGCTGGCCAGGCAAAGAGAGAACAGATCCAACGAGATCGCTCTCAAAAAGATGGGATTTCAAATGAGGAAAAAGACAGCCAAATTAGTGATTGATATATACGAGCAAATATACTACTCAAACTCAATACACAAGGGAGAATCCCGATGAAGTTGAAGGAGAAGAAGAAGAAAAGACAACGAAGAATCAATGAATGGATGGTTGTTTTTGCCTCGAAAATTCCTTCAGTGGGTGGCCGAGCCTCGCGGTGATTGGCTGCACGACGTCACTGCACGGGACGTGGCGCACGCTTGCCGCTTTGGGCATCCACAGTCACGTGTGTCAGAGCCTTGCGCCCAAGGCAGGCCAAGATAATGGTCAGCATTGAACTCCACCAGACATCAAGAAATATGTATATATCACTACAACTTACGGGAACTGCCAACGCAGCGGGGAAGTTCTTAGTCCACTACAGGGCACCTTGCGTTATATATTAAATAACCAAGCAACAAGTCATAAAGAACCAAATAGAATAACCATCGTGAATCCCCGTTCTCGGCTCACTTTGTAATTGGCTGAAGAGTCTGTCGCGCATAGTACTGGCCATGTCCAGCCAACCTACTTTCAGCCTCATCTCTAAGCATCTAAACCTAGTATTTTACGCTTCTGTTGCACGGCATGAATGACTGTTATTAATTGGTCGAGAGCCTTCTCCTGGCTTAGAACAAAGCAAGCCAGGCAACTTCCGACCGTTCTAGTATTATGTATGTCTATAATCGTTCGCTAATTCTTTTCAGCACTACCATCTCCTGCTCCGTGACCGTGACATTGTCTGGAAGCATGACACTCCCTTTTTCAATAACAATATGGGTTGGAACGCCGGGAAAGGTATCGTTGGTTTGGACGGAAGCAACACTTCCCTCTTTGGCCTCCCTGGCGCTTTCGGTGTCGTCGGGCTTGGGGCGTTCCAGAGACTGCGGCGTCCACCAGTATATAGGGAAGCGGCGTTGAATGTTGTTGATAACCAAGGCCACTGCCTGCATGAGCACACAGCCCAGCAGCATAATTAAGATTAAGTACCATCCCACATCGTAGGATTGCGTGACGGCAAGAAGGGCGGTGGCGCCGGCAGGGGGATGGACCGTGTTTGTAATCGTCATGATGGCGGTAGTGATGGCACACGCCAAAGCACCGCCGACTTGCGGCATAGAGTGGGCGTTCTCGTTCAGCGCGAAGAGCTTGCCTATCGCAACGCCGACGAAACTAGCCACAATCTGACTCAGGACGGCATTGCGTGGTTGGGCAAAGGGTGATTCGATGGCAGAGAATTCCAAGACAGCAGCAGCACCCTATAAGCTCGTTAGTCGACATCGAGCAGTAGTACTAGTGGAGTCTGAGTATCTCAAGTGGAACTTACAAAACTGGCCACGATGATCGGGGCATGGTGGGCTTGGAATGATGGAATATGCTCAGACACCTCCGCAACCACGAGCACACCACAGAAGACTCCGATCAAAGACCAGAAGGCGATCACGAGATTCCCCAGGGGTTTCGGAGCAAGAGTCTTTCTGTACCCGAAGAATCGGGAGATGGGCCGAGGCAGATGACGCCACGGTGGAGGCGGTAGATATGGGTTGAGAAAGGCATCGATGTCCACATGTAGTCGAGAGAAGTCGATGCGCTGGAGCATGGACGCCGACTGAGGGTTCTGCGCACTCATCGCTTCAGTACTGCCGGCAACCAGCCCAGACAGTCCTAAAGCACGCAACACGGCTCGCCACCCTGATGTATATAATGGTCAGATACAGCTGTCAATCATGCAAAAGAAGGCATTGAAGACTGAAAACACCACGAATGAAGAGGCAGCCAAGCACACACATTCGAGGAGAAATGACAGGTGCAGATTTTGGCCTATGGCCATGCATTGACACCGATCAAGCGACCAGGCATCAGTTTGATTAAATGGAGCCCCGACGGGTCCATATCAGGGGGGCCCGCGAGGACAGAACCTACCTTGAACTACGTGGATTGACAGGAGGGGAGAGAGAAGCTAAATATAAACCAAAGAATCCCATTGGAGGTCTGAAACAGACGAAGAGCGAGTGGACAGGACCATTATGGGGTTCCTCGAGATTAAAATACTAGAATGGGGCCATCCGGCCAGCACTGAGAAGACGGTGGAAAAGTCGGCACGCAAAACGAGGACTCATACATTGTAACCACGAGGATCTCCGCGGAAGAGAGCGGGCAGAGGGCAGGAATGCAGCGCTGAGTTGGAGATGGCCATTGATGCCCTGGAAAGAAGGGAAACACGCCCTTTTGCTGGCTGGTCCAAGACATCTTTCTGCCACTCATGATATTCGCGTTGGGTAATGGAAACTCTGCTTCCGGTTTAGCGTCGGGGCAGCTGACGATGAGGTCACTGGCCTGTAATATTACGCCGACTGTTACCCGAACCCGGCTGTCTTTTCCCCCCAAATACCCCTGTTTCATGGGCTCCTGCTGGTATCGGGATTTCAGACCGCGTAACTAACCTCATTCCCGCCCAGACTTGAGCAATCGTCGATCAATCTGGGGTTCCCCAAAAACATGGCGCCCCCCGAACCCTCGCGCCTCTCACTCGTAAAGCCCGTCGTGAGGGGAAATGAGGGGGGATTTGGGGACGCTGTTGGGACCAGACTGTATAGGGATGTCTGTCCTTGGAGTAACTAGAGCCTACGTACAACAGTCGAACACTCGCCTGCAGCAGGTGGAGCACACTAATATGTTAGTGGCATTGAGCAGGTCTGCTGTATCTATTCCTTCAAAGAGAAACAATCTAAAAACTTCACACTACCACTCGTACAATGCGAAAACAATTCTATCCATCATTAAATCATGACCCATGATAGGCACACTCTTTACACGAGACTTATACATCCAGGGTCTTTCCCTGTTTCGAGCTCTCCTGAGCCAACTCGATCAGCCGGATCACTTCACGAGCCTCGGCGCCGCTGGCAGGGAGGTCGCCCTCTCCACCAAGAGCCCGCGCCAGCTTGCGGTAGTATTCCGTCCAGGTCGGGGGCTCTACTGTGGGCATGACTTCCTTGACGGGCTTGCCGTCCTGAATAGTCGTGAGAGTACCTAACAGAGACTGTTAGCCTGTTGCGAAAGTCCAACGGCGGCAATCCTTGACTTACCGTATCTCTCAGAAGGCTCTCGGCCATATCCGCTGTCACCTGGCTTCACACCAGCCTTGAGCTGCTCTTCCTGCACGTCGAGATGGAACTATCGAGCGTGTACGCATCAGTATTTTGTTACTAACCGACATCCTAGGGTGAAAGGCCGTTGTCTCACCTTCTTGAAGCTGCCCTTCTCTCCCCGGACCCAGAAGCGCAGTTGCTCCTCTTCCGGGCTGACGACACCAGCCTTAGCCGTGACAAGCACGCCCTTCGGGTAGTGGAGCAGAACAGTGAAAGAGTCCTCGAACCCGGAAGTGTTCACCTCGCGCTGGGAGCCAATGAATCCAGTCACGCGCTCCGGCTTGCCAAGCAGGTGCACAGCCTGGTCCAAGAGGTGAGCGCCCAGGTCATAGATGGCGCTACCACCCGGGATGACCTTGTTCTTCCACTTGGAAACATCGGGGGAGGGCTCCTGGGGGCGATGACGGTCGAAGTGAGTCTCGAACTCCACGACACGGCCAAGAGAGCCATTCTTCACCAGCTTCGACAGGGTCACGAAATCGGCATCCCACCGACGATCTACCAAATATCATCATTAGGTTATGTTTCTTTTCGAGTCGGCGATTGGGTAGAAAACGTACTTTGGTAGACGGCCAGGAGCTTGTTCTGCTTCTTGGCCAGAGCAACCAGCTCGTCGGCTTCCTGAGTAGTGGGGGTGAAGGGCTTCTCGCAGACAACTGTGTCGCAAATGAAGTCAGTACTCATGCAAGGTGAGAGCGCTATACCTGGATAGCAAGAGACTTACCGTGCTTTCCATTCTCCAGAGCCAGCTTGGCCAAGGCATAATGCGAATCGGGCGCGGTGGTGATGACAACCACCTGGAGACCCTCATCCTTGACCATCTCCTCGGTGGTCCGGTAGGACTTGATTCCGGGGTGGTCCTTCTCGGCATCGTCGTCCGGCTTGGGGGTGCGCTGCACAACAGCCGCGATTTTGAATTGAGGGACTTCCTGAATGAAGGGAATGTGGAAGGTCTTGGCACTAAAGCCATATCCCACAATTCCGACGTTCCAGGTCTTCGAAGCCATGATGGGTGGTGTTACTTGCGATGAGGGGGGGTATATCGTGGAGGATTGGGAGGATAGTAATCCACCATGGGAAACGGAGGGAATTCTCTGCTTATATACGCTATGGATATCGTCTAAGGATTACAAATGAAGCCAACCCGCCTCATTCCCCATAGCAAGTGGCCATTTGAGTGCTGGCGCGGGGGAAGGTCCTGGCGACGGCAACCTTTGGCTCGGGCGGGGCACGCGGCAAAAGCCGATGTCTCAATGCGTCACTTTTACTTTCGGAATTCATTCTGCGCGCTCTCGCCGATGATTACTGAGGCCACTCGGTCCAGCCTTTGCGAGCAGCCATGAAGAATAATTCACTCAACTTCTATGCCTGGACCCTTTCATTCCTGGATCCCCACACATCGGCTCACCTCGATCGCGTCCTACAGAACTCGCATGTCAGTGAAATTCCCACCCCGCTCCTCGGAAATACCGGGTAAACTCACTCGTGTGGTCTCGGGTTTGACCAATTTGCTGTCATACACCAGGTTCGGGTTCCCGGTGAGTTCAAAGCTGGGCGTCGCATCCGCAGGCATGAATGACCCGACTGATCTCTGTGGCAGGTTGGTAGTGTCGTATGCTTGGACCGGCCCCTTTTTGGCCGCTTCACGCTTCTGCTCCACCGTGCTGCGGACATACTCCAAATACGGCGGGTTGCCGGGGTAGAGCACGTTGTCCGCCACCACAACCGAAACCCCGGGGACGATCTTGCCGAGCTGCTCGCAGAGCTTCAGATCGGCCGTATATGCGGGCTTATAGTGATCAATTAGCATCACTTCAACGTGTTTGACATGACCACTCGAGAAAAGTTTGTCAAGGGACAAATCGCTTCGACCGACGAGAATTGTAACAAAGTCGCGCAAGCCCGCCAGTTCAAGCAGCATGTTCGCGATGGCCGCGAACTCGGGGTTCAACTCTAAACTATAATAGTGTCGTCCGCCAGCCCGGCGCACGGCATCTCCGAACAGAATGGCCGAATAGCCAACATAGCCACCAAGCTCAATCATAACTTCGGGCTTCTTTTCCTCGATGATGTCGATAATGAACTTGCCCTTGGCCCTACCGATGTTCATGAAGTGGTAAGTTTTACCGAACTCTTCGATCAGATCTAGGACCTTTGCTGGGTTGCCCTGGATCTCGTCACGGTTGGGTTGGTCATAGATGAAGTGAAGCAGCTTTCGCTCTCGGCCATCCTCGCGCTGGCACAGTCAATTGTCAGAGTAGGAGCGCAGCAAATCAAGAGTTACGGGGCAAGCTTACCGAACGTTCCACTGGAGGGTGAGAAGGGGCTTCGGGGGTAGCACTATCACCCATGGTCGATAACAGGCGCTGCGTGAAAGGAGAAGGAGGCTGGTAAGGTCTAGGTGTAGTAAGGGGAGAGCGTGGACACTGAAGCCACGTTCGAGGGGCAGCAGGATACTTAAGAGCTTTGAAAGACGCGCGGACTAGTCGGGTCGACACCGACTTGGACCTTTGTAGCTGATAAGGGCGGAATGTCGCCATCCGGCAGTGGGCCACACTCATAATGATCGCATCATGATTTCCATGGAAAGTCGTGAGCAAATAAGCGATGCTATTCCATCCCGAGTGGCGGAGGCCTTGGTGCACGACATCGCAAAACCCCGGGCAGTCGGAGATGGTTACCACATCGGTCCAGGTAGGTGTGGTCCCGGTTCCCGCGTCAATCCGTCACAGGACACTTCAGCTGCCATCTGATAAAGTTTCAACCCCTCATCTGGCTTGTCGAGCAAAGCAGTCGGCATCGGGAATGTGTCTCCTCATCTCGGCGACTCCGATGGCAGGGTCAGAAGGCCCATGTGGGCGCGGATCATGCATGGAGGGGTGCAGAATAGGAACAGGGAGACAATGGAACTTCCCCTCCAACAATACAGAACTGGAGGGCCTGCCCCTGGTCGAGAATAATATGATACGACCCAGTTCCGCTTAGAAGCAGTCCCGTGCTCAACCTCGAAAGCTTAATATCATTCATTCAGACATGATCCCATAGAGCGGCGTTATTGAGGGTGACGGTAACAAAGCACTCACTCCGACACTGAAACCCGAACCGGTTCAAGCGACGCCACGATCCACGTCTACGCCTCCACAGCTGGTCGGCTCGCATTGAACCTGCTTCTGACTACCTGACGTCGACCCAAATGTACCAGGCAGTTAAGCTCCACAATAGAATAAGTTCAAAGGCTTGTTTATAGGGCAGTCGCCTTGCACACGAGCATGCCATGGTAAGTGCTAAGGTGAGAGCTCCGTACCGGATCTACCCCTTCGTCCGCATCCGTCGCCGGCCATGGAATCTCCGACGGACGATCGGAAATGTCACTGTGCGATTACTGCATTGGGTATATTGCGAGCAGCTTTGAGCTGGCTTTTGCTTTTCATTGTATGCTTTCGAGCATATGGGGTACATGTTCCCTGATCCACTGAATGGTGTTTCGGAACTGATGGATGAACCAAGGAACACTTTCCCGGCAGTAGTAGTAGTAACCGAGTCGGTAGTTAGTTAACTAGTTAGCTACTACAGAGACTAGTCATCTGTAGATCATGCACTTCAGGTTAGTTACTACCTACTTATTTTACTTATCTCGAGTACCTCATGCGATCCAGTCCTTTTCCCAAGTGCTTACTTTCCTGCCTGCATGCATGACACATACAATGAAACGAACGAACCAATAATTCCCCGCACAACAAAACATGAAACAAAACCGAAATCGAAACCCAACGAGTAGCGGCATGCACTGCACAAGCACATCCCGCCCGGCATTAAATTGGGTATTCATCTACTGATTCTTATCCACCTACTGCGTACTAGATAGATACTTACCTGGCAGGGCTAGCTAGCAAGGCAAGGAATGCCGCAACCGTAGCCAAGCAGCTACCCTGGCTACCCTGTACTTACCTCGGCCGCACCCATCCAATCAATCCTCACTTACACTGCAACCCTACAATCGCATGCAAGTCTCAGACACCCATCCCAGCCCAGCCCAGCCCGAGGCAAAAAAAAAAGTGAAATCCGCATATTGCTTTTTTCTTTCCCATAGGCTCCGCATCCCCCACTTTGCGATGTGGAAACATAAGATAGACGGACAGCTGTTTAGCTAGCAGCCTCGCTAGCTAGCTGGCAGTCCCAGCCACCTCAGTCACTCACTAACTTTGACACTCGGCATCAGCAGCAACCCAACACATCTCCTAACTACTAGCTACTAGTCTATCTATCTATCCAGTGCCACCCGCCCTACTCCTCCCTCTCGCATCACGAATGCGCACTCTGTGCTGACGTGGTCGCCTTGCAGCATTCCACACACACATTACATTTGCATTCGCGCGACACATACTACGGAGTACATAATATAGGGAATTTTCCCGCCCGTGGGCAGTCCGTAGAGGCATCTTCATTTCTCTTCTTCGTTTAGTTTTCTTTTCGGTCAATTCGGGTTATACTATACCACGAACGATTCAACCCCACCATTCACCCACCTACATACCCACTATTATACTAACCCCCAATCCATAATCATACCAACGATCACACCGAAAGAACCAACCAAAAAGGAAACAAACATGGCAGTCGGCCACCCCATCCGCCTACGCCGGGCCCTCAGCACCGCAACGACCAAATCCCGCTCCCTTTCCACTCCCCGATTCTCCATCCTCCAACTCCAAGTCCTAGTGCACTTATTCCGCGTCGCCCTCTCCCTCGCTCTCCTACCGCTCGACAACACCATCCTTCTCGCCGCCTACGCAGCAGGATTCTTCCCCTTCTCTCTAACAGATAGCAACAAAGCCGGCGCTCGCCGCCGCGCCGCGGCTCTCCGCTCCAGCAACTTCAAGCCCCGAACTGTCCTCGTCACGGGTATCGACACACCGTATGGCCTGGCCATCGCGCGCGGATGGTATTACTCGGGCCATCGGGTAATTGGGGCCGAAGTGGTAGGTGGGGATGAATCGGGCGTGGCGTGCGGGGAGAGTATGTCGCGGGTACTGAGCGGGTATTATCGCATTAATTCTACCACTAGCGCAAGCACCGCTACGAAGGGCTACGCAGCGCAATTGTTAGACGTGGTGATGAAAGAGAACGTGGACGTGTGGATCCCATGCTGCGAAGAGACGGAAGGGGAAGAGGATGCCGTCGCGAAGGGAGTGATTGAGGCGCGGACGGGGTGTAAGTGCGTGACGCTTGATCGGGGAATGGCGGATATACTCTCACAATCCTCATCGAACCGGGAAGCTTTCCTGGCGTTTTTGGTCGAGAAGGGATTACCTGTTGTGGAGAGACACGAGGTGCTGTCTCGGGATGCGGTGCATAAGATCCTCCATCGGTCGCCGACCAAAGTGTGGAATATGCGGAGGGCGGATGAGAGAGAGGTGATGCTGCCGAAACGGACTCTTAGTCTGACCTATTCCGAGGTCAGTGAGATTCGCATCTCCAGGGAGAGGCCGTGGATGTTGCAGCAGCAGACGAGGTTGGGAGGGTTTTATGCCGAGATGGCGGTCGTTGCCGGGAAGGTCAAGGCGACTAAGATCTACCCCGCTGAGGAGGATGGAGACGGTGGTTGGGGCCAATCACCGATGGACCGCGGGCTGGCGACGGCGATTCAGGCGCTGATGGAGCGGTTTGCCAGCCAGATGGGCGCCCGGTTGACGGGGCATTTGCGGTTGAAGGTGATGGTGGATGAGGAGGTGAGCGACAATTCTCTGCGGTATGTGATACTTATTGATAGCTGCACGCATGGCGCGTCGGCGGTCAAGTACCTCATCTTGGAGGACGATTTGAAGACTCTGGTAGACGGATATCTGGAGGCGTTGACGCCGCAGACGAATGGTGTCGCCGAGGGGGAGGCTGTGATGAATGGCACAGCGGGTGCTGCGTCTGCGTCTGCGTCCTTGAAGGCGGATATCACTACGCCTCCTCCGCGTCAACGGTTCAGTCTGTTTCGCACGGCGAAGAAAGCCAATGTGAAGGTATTTGGATCGCTGGGGAAGCAGGTTGATCGTGCTCTTCATGAGGGGAGTAAGCTCCTGTTCTTCTGGAAGAATCAGAAGTTCTCGCAGCTGGATCCGTTGCCGTGGTGGTGGCATGCTCATGTCTATCAGCCTTTGAGGGAGTTGGAGATGATTGTGAAGCCGAAGAGAGTGAAGAGGGCGTGATTCCTTATGCTCTCTGTCTTCTACCCCTTCATTCATTCATTCCTCTTCTCACTTATATTTATTTGTTGGTTATTTCCTTTGTTCCACTCAGCATGGAAGGACAAGAAGGACGGAACCACAGGACAGGACACGATGTTACGATTACTTATATAAAGGAGCATCAGGTGGCGCCTTGGGATATTACTCGGTTTTTGCAATGTGGTAATGATAGTATAGCAATGATTTATGGTTTTACTTTTAAAAAGATTAACAGTACTCAATAGTTAGATGTAAGCTCTGAGATCTGCAGTGGAGCATGGCTGATGTGCCGCGTGCTAGGCATAGTCTAGACTATAGACGGTTTCCATGAGAACAGTGCTTTAGCGCTATCTTGAAACGGCTAATACTCCCGCTAGATGCTTAGATTGGTTGTAGTGCCTGCTATATAATATGCACTAATCAGTTGTGAAAAAGCAAATTGTATTTGCCTGTCTTGCAATGTCGTGCTGGTTTCGGTGGATTATCATCGTTGGGTATGGTTTTATCGCGGGTTGGATGTATAGGACTACCTGAGTGGGAAGTTAAATGGTTATCACAATAGTATTGTTCATCTGAGTGTTTAGATGTAAGTCTCTGTTTTAGTTGCTGGGATATCCGTGGTCTGCCAACCGCCATTGCAGTTGGTATGTTTGTCACGGAGTACCAGGTAAAGGGGCCATTGCATAGTCATTGATGCAGACATAGAGTACTGATGAATCATGAAAGTTGATCTAAAAGTAAACTGTCAGATTGGGCTGCGAGCAGGTTCAGTAGGTACAGGCAAGACAAGTTCCAGGTTAAAGATTCTATAGTCCTACATAGTATGCATCACTCTCGGTTTCTTTGAAGTCTGGAGTACAAAGACCTGGGTATATAATTCTGGCAGATGAACATACGTCATGTTACACTAGTGCAGCAGGAATAATGTAAGCCAATATAAGACCACTTTTGCTGATCTCATTTTTATACTCCTGTAGTAAGCGAAACCGTGGGTATTTATTCACATGTGGTGGTCTTCTTTCTCAAGAACCAACAAGGTATATATATATATGTATCATTATTAGGTTTCTCAGTGTCTATCAAGAGTGTGAAGCCATTTGAGATATGTCTTGACTCGCATGGACCCATTCGTTTGAGCTGGTTGTTCGATCATCTTTACCATTTGGGATATTGGGTGTTTCGATATCTATCTCTCGTTTGTCACTGTATTCCAACAGATTGGGCACAGATGAATACGAATTGTAGCAATACCCTTAGACATTATCTTGCAAAGTGAGTGCCACTGCCAGCACATTATATCCTCTTCTAATACAGCTGCCTGAAATGCTCCCATGACCTCCAGGTGAGCTGGTTTACTGGCATTCGTCAGCCTTGAAAGGCACCCCCGCAGGTTTTCCGATTGGTCGATACAAACTTTATATGGAGGTCTTTCGGAACAGGTACAGTACCGACGAGGAATGTGAGTAACCGAGGTGCTTCTTACTCTACTCATATTGAGAGGTCGGCTAAACAACGGTTTTCCGTAGGGGCCGACAGCCCTTGTATGAGCCTAATGTTCTAAACATCGCTGTAGATAGTCTAGCAGTATTACCTCTTATGGAGGCGTATGTCAGGTGCTGCTATTTCTGGCGGCCACTTCAGCCTAGGCTATAATTAGTCAAGCGGTAAGATCGGCATCCAAATTTACGGTACCGTACCAAAGACTGAAGCTGAAGAGATGCTGCGCATTCGCTTCAGCCACAATCATCTCATCTCATTCACGTTCATCTGTCAACTCCTTTTCGCCCCCTTCCTCTTTCATCTCTGTTAATTCCTCATCGTTTGAACGAATTGTTTGTCTGGTCTTGGGTTCACTGCTGATACCGTTGCGCTGTCGGTTCGCCAACGCTACCATTTGAAACCGCCCACTTTAGCGTCCGCGCGGCATTGATCGGGTTGCCCCGTTCACCTGGTCTTGGGTTTTTCGATCGCTATCGGCATAAACAATCCATTTCCACCCCAGTTCTCGCCCCTCCACAACGCCCTTCGAGACGTCTGGCTCGATATACAGCGCACCATTACTATTCTCGATTTGATTCCTCACGTAAACGTCCGATCGCTCTATCCTCTCTTTCGCTTCCGTACAAGGAAGCGCCCTTTGTCGTCAGGCACCGCTCTACCCCGTCTTCCTCCTTCCCTCCTCCCACAACATGAGAATCGCTCGGCCTTCGTTCAACCCCGGGAGGACGAAAAACCTCATCCACGGATTCCAGGGGTTCATCATCTTCCTGGCGTGGGCCTTGACCATCGCTGTGTTCACAAAGGGTGGTGGCATTGATGGGCGTTCAGCCTGGTACTTTGCTTTGGTACGTTGCGATGAATGGAACCGCCAAACTTCAGGCGCCTGATGACCATGTACTGATTCTTGTTTGTTTAGTGCTGGTTCAGTATCCCCGGCCTGATCTACCTCGTGGCAGTGCCCATGTGGCCGCGCGCACGACGCTTCGGAAATGTTTATGCCTTCGCAACCGTCGACTGCCTGTACGCCATTTTGTGGTTCTCTGCTTGGGTTTGTGTGGCTAGCTATGTGGCGGAAGGCAAGAGTAAGGGAAAGTCGGACTCTAGCTCCGATTCCAGCTCCAGCAGCAGTAGCTCCAGCAGTTCGTCGAGCAGAAGGGACACCAGCAGCAGTGACAGCAGCAGCAAAAGCGGATGCGATAACTGGGCCTACGGAAGCGCAAGTAAATGCAAGGTCAGCACAGCGACTGTGATCCTGGGCGTTGTTGTCTTGTAAGTATACCCATACGGCGTTCCTATCATATGTGCTAATGATGTGATAGCCTGCTCTTCTGCGTAACTGCCTTCATGTCCTTCCGCAATGTCTCGCATTTCCGCCGCACCGGAACCTTGCCCGACGCTGTCTCCGATCCCACCTTTGCCGCGCAGACAAAAGCCGCCTTTTCCTCGAACCCTGCCCATGATTTCGAGGAGGAAGAAGACGACTTCCGCTCCCGCGCTGGTATCGGCTCCTCTGTCCGTGGCGACAGGGACGAGGACTACGCTCTGCTGCAGCAGAGCGAGGTGGACGAGTTTGGAAACTCACACGCTGCACGCTCGGCGCTATCAGGCACATATGACCCGACGGTCTCTGGTGGAAGCGTGCTGCACGACTACAACACCAGCTATGGCGGTGCACACGGCCAACATTATGGAGGAGCGTCCGAATTCGGATCCAGTGTAAGTGGCTATGGACGCTGAGCGTGGCTAGCTGGTGGTTTTCTGCGTTTATCTCTTCGAAACGACCATGGAGCGGTGTTTGTGGGCGCACTCGTGCTGTATTACCCTTTTGATTGAAATTTTGCGTGAAGTTCTCAACTGCCCATTTCTGTCTGCTGCTTCCACTGGTGATGACTGTATGCTGTGATTGGACGGGATAAGTCCCTTACGTGTTCGCATCGGACCTTATGTCTGCATGGTTATTGATGATCTGGATGACACTGTTGGACTATGACATAGATAGCATTTGTTCTGTAAATGTATATGGCCTATGCCAATTTCTCGCCTACCTCGCCAAAGCACTGCTATAAGCAGAGTCTTCGAATCCGTGCGAGCTTGCTTTCTTTAACGGTACTGCTGACTGGTCAGATAGTAGTCGAATCTTGACAATCATGCAACAGTTCCGACGTCCGTACGGAGTAGCTGCAAATATAATTCACTATGCTTAGGCCGAGACAATACACCCCCTTCTATATCCACCAGTACCCCCACCCCTTCACAGCACCTCAAACATCCATGAACCATCGAATCCCCACAAATCATGGAACTAAGCTCCCACCCAGACTCGGAATTCCACCACATCTCCTACAATGGACTCGACTACTACATGAAAATCATCAGTAACAACCCAAAATTGCGATTCCAAATCCAACAGTTATGTGTCTGTAACGAATAGATTCAGGCACATACGACGACAGGGTGTGGAAAATAGGGCTTTCTGTCCGCTCAGCTGTACTTAAGCCAAGACCGACAGCAGTCTTAAGAGACTCAATAGCCTCACGACTGACCCTCCGCAGAGCTTCTCAACTGTCTATGACCCATCACCAAGCCACTATGTCTCTCTTGAGCGGAGAGGAGGGTACCTGGCATCCCCGAGAGAGGACCGATCAATTGAAGGCTGTTTTTGGCCGCCTGGAGGGAATTAATGGCCTCAATAAATCTGGCCTCGGCTTCATGAATAAATTTCTCGATAGTGTCTTGAACGTTAGGAACGAATCTTTCTACGTAGGACACACGGAGCAGCATACCAGACACAAAGGCACCCGGATGAGACGAGTTCAACGGAGCAGGCATTTTCGCAAAGATAATTATCAAATATTAAAGTCAGTAACACAAAACGCACACGGCCTACCATACATTCGCCCAGAGTCACTCAAAACTGGTGAAGTCTCGCGGGGATACGTACAGAGGACAGCCTTAGTTCAACTTGAGATGAAAAATCGATATTAAAGATAAAAGCTGATGGTTGTCGTTGGCGGATGCAGAGGCGAGGGGGTTGAAGAAGAGGAAGTCAGGTTCCGGGATTTAAAGAAATTTCTTAGGCTGAAAACAGGGGGCCTGAAAGAAAAGTGAATATGGAAGATTCATCTGAGGAATTAGGCATCTCGCCTAGGAGGGAGACTCTTCCTAGGCCGAATCTTTTGACGGTTCTTCATCACTATTTTCCTCAAGTATCTTTATTTGTACGGATTTCTTGTCAGGACAATCACGGCTGAGATGCGCGGCCTTTGGCAGCGGAAACATTTGCCTTCATTCATCAGACGATTGCGGGTTTCAGTGTCCATATTTGTTTCACTGGTCGCTGAAGGCGCTTCTTCAGTCTTGATCGCTGGAGAAGTGCGATTCGCTGTTGTAGGGGCATTTAGGCTCTGTCGACGGCCAGAAGAGGGAGTCTGTCCTGTGCAGTTGCAACGCTTCAGGATCTCGTCGATTAGGTCAGCTGAACGGGCACATTCCTCAACATACTGGTCAAAGTCAACTTCGTTGTCATTGAAACGAGATATTGTAAGTTCCTGGAGCTTGAACGGCAATCTCTGGTACAGGTCTTCCCTCCAGCAGTCTGGATCAATACCAGCCTCCACTGCAAGATAACGGAAGTTTGAGATGAACGTGTAAAACTTATCTTCAGGAGCTATCTTCAAGTTATTGTACTGCCGGCGGGCATTGCGTTCTTTGTTCGGGTCGGAAAAGATGTTCTTCAGGGGTGAGTCAGCATGTCCTGAGCATTGTTGTAGGGACTATGGGACTCTGGGCGGAGACGGGGAGCCAAGTGATGTTGTGCATCCCCTTCACAGCGACTCGTGACATACGCCTTGCGAAGGATCGTGGTGCTATAGTGGCCAGCATTGGTGTCCAGTTTCTGGTGCATAGCCAGGGTCCAATCTTCAAAGTAGGGTCCTTCCCATCACTGAGCATGGAGGGCCAGGGATCTTTGTGGACTTACGAGGCTCGTTGGCGGCTCGTGCAGCCTGGGAACCAACGCGAGCCAACTGTACAGCAAAAAGATCTCGTTCAGTGGCCATATTATCTTTTTCTTCAACCAGATTATCGACCCGTTTGAGCAATGCATCTCTCTCAGTGGTCAAGTCGTCAACAGCGATCTCGGCGCTCTGTTTTTGTCTCCAGATGATTCAAAACGTGAAGGATCATATCAAAGGTGCGTTCAGGGTCTTTAGCGTACATGCTGTGGAATTCCTCACGGGAGATGTCTCCTTTGTCATCTGTAGACAGACTAAAGAGAAAGCTAGAAGGCGTTGGCGTCTTTTAATTTCTAATGGACATGGATCTCATATCACAATAAAGTTTATTGACTTCTGTGATGCAAATAAGATCCTCTAGGCTATATATCCTCCTCATTCTACATATTCTCTGCAGCTGCTTGATTAGTATCTTTGGTCCTTTATCTCTTGCCTATAGTAACCAGCTGGACGCTCTTTTGCATGCCAGCCAGGGCCTAAGTCATATTACCAAGAGGGATTTCTTTAGGCTATTCTGGTCGAGCTGGAATAAGGCCTTATCTACAAGCAATACTGAGAGTGCATCGAAATCGGTCGGTTTATAGCCCTAGAACCCGGAGATTATTTTAACACACTTTACTAAAGAGGAGGATCAAAGATCCTCTTCTAGTAAGTCATCATCATACTCTATTTTATAAGCAGAAGCTTGGAGAAGAATTAAAAGACTTCTCAAGCAGATCATCTCTGATGTGTATGACCAGAACCCCAAAAATTAAAGTAGTACCACCATCTCTCTACAGAATGTTCTGCTTAAGCTTCAGAATAAAGGACTTAAACACATCCTACTGAATGAACAGAAGAAGCACCAGCGAGCCCGTTAGATTACTCGAGAGGTTGACCCTCGTTTGTTTATCGTGTGGTGTATTTTGCCTCTCCTTCCACTATGTAGTGCAGTCATACCTCATGGTCTCACCGTGTGTTGATTTCCCTCTTTCTTTCTTTCCTCCTTTCTTTTTCAGCGTTTTCTTCTTGTTTTGATAGCTACGATAGTCTATCGAACGTTTCGGGTCTTATCCCTTACAAGAGGCTATGAACTGCATTCAAAGACAGGACTATTGCAAGGCGATATTTCTATCGGGAGCCTTATTCTTAGCAATGACCACGCTGGACATTGACCGGCTGTTCTTATCGATTTAGACCTCGCTATCCGGGAACAGAGAAAAGCATCTTCTGAAGCAAAAGGGAAAACGGGAACAAGAGCATTTATAGCTATTAGATTACTGTTTGGCGAGAAACACACATTCATGCATGGTCTGGCGTCTTTCTTCTGGATTCTTTTCTGGATTTGTATACATGGAAGCTCTGGCGAGGAGTACCGTAAATTTGAGAAGGTGGACCGGAAGAGGAAGGTAGGGGGGATGCATGATCACTTACCTTGGATAAGGGTCGACACCTCCTGCGGCGAGGTAGCATCCTGCAGCTGAATCCAGACGGGAACCTGGGCAATGGAGAGCCCATTCTCGCCGAGCGTGGAGACAGTCAAGGAGATGGTTTGATCGCGCACCAAGAGTCCAAACTTAGGGTTGGCGGCCCAGAAGGCAGTTTCCGCCTGCGCCATCCCGATGGGCGCCAGGCCCGTGATGAGCTCCGAGCCGGGCGCCGTCCCCGGTAGGCCGGCAACCACCGCCTCTGCGAACAGCTGATGCAAATCCGGCTCGAACATAGGGATGGTGCCGGTGCGGTTCATGAGCCGCTCCGTTTCCTCCTTGTCAGTCGTCCTTCGCTCTTGGTCTCACGTTCCACGTAGCCGACCCTGATGACCCGGGAGATATCGATGATCGACCCGGCGAGGCCCCGGCGGCGCCGGTTGTTCACCAGCGCCTTCATGAAACAGTTGGCCGCCGAGTAGGCCGCCTGGCCCATGTTACCGGCCGTCCCGACGATCGACGAGAAGGCGATGAACCAGTCCAGCGCATGGTGCGCGAACGCGCTGTCGAGATTCACGGTGCCGTCCACCTTGGGTTTCAGGACTAGTCTGGAGGTCATCGAAGGACATCGTCGCCACGGGAGTGTCGCAAAGCACAAGGGCACCATTAGCAACGCCGGCAATCCGAGGCATCTTGCTTTCGATCGCGCTGAGTGTCGATCGAACTGACGCATACTGGGTCAGGTCACTGGACAAAAACGATCACTCTGTCAGTAGGATTTCGGATAGGATATAGTTGGGCAGTTCATGTACCATGTAAAGTACTTGATGTGCGCTCCACGGGCTTGACACAATTTCTGCCATTCAGGGCAGATTATCGGGTTGCGGCTACTGAGAGCGATGTGCCTCGCACCGCGTTGAATCATGAAATCAGCCAGGGATTGTTTTATGTCTCCCGCCAGGCCCGCCAACCAGTAGGTTCTATCACTCCGGAAGAGGTCATTCCTCACGGTGATTGGCTCCACTAAGACTGAAACGGACTGATTTGGGTCCCATTGAATTAATGCTAGGCTCGACTCTGGGAGCTGCTTCGTCACGGCTTCTCCAATAGTGAGAGTGTCGAGCGGTGCTCTGTCTGGAACTCCATTCATTTGGGATTGTGCAAACCCCGAGACTTGTTTAAGAAGCAGCCCAATGCTCTCAGGGACAGGGGTTGACATCGGCGATGCCGTGCTGTGGACAAGATTAGAAAAGCCAAGTTTCTGGCCGGCCTGAGGTCGCAATGAGGCAATTCTGGTCCCAAGTCCATACTTGGACGCAGCAGTGGAAGATAGATCGATAATCAACGCAACGTCGCGCGGAATAAGTGCATCGATAGTGCGCGCAGGAGTTCTTTCGTGTACATAGATCCAGTTTCTTCTCTTCGCATTACTTGGCTTGCATGTTGTGAACACAATCGACTGACCCTCGCCAACCGTTCGACCAGACAGCAAAGACACAAGGCCAGGATCGGGCTTGTACATAAGCAGTGTACCCACAGCGGGCCTCAATCTCAGGATATGCTGGCGAACAAGATCAGCAACCACAAACGACATGAATTGCGCGTCGATGAGGTCGTTGTTGTCCACGGTGACCAGCATTGACTGCGGCACACTGACAATGGAGGAATTATCGGTGGACAAGCACAGAACCTTCTCGCATGTACCCTGGCAGATTCCAAGGCACAGGAAGAAATAGCCATCATTGGCTTTGATTGCGGAAAGAAGCGAATACTCGACCTGAACCGTACGGTAGTCTTTGTGAGGCTCGGGAGCATCGTGCTTCTCCCGAAGCACGTAGGCGCCCCCATCATATTCCAGCTGGAGATCATTGGTTCCCAAGGTAGTTTCTCTCATAATAGGTCGGCGGAACGAATTCATTGTATCGGTCATTCTGCTCGGCCTGAGGTTGCGCACGAACCATGTGCAGCCTGTTCTTGGCAAGGATCAATTCTGGCTCTGGAGTCCAAAGGATTTAGTAGTAGTAACTGATATATTTCTATTGTCACACAGATCAAGTACCACTGAAACGAAAGCAAGGTACTGGTATAGTGGCGGAGTATGGAGCGATCTCACTGGAAATGCAGGACTGGACTGATGGAATCAATAATCCCCAGTGGCAACAAGAGTCAAAAACAGTCTGGGGAATGGACGGCCTTTATACTACATTTTCGACATATAAGTTCAGTGTTGACGGAGCAGCACGGTAAACTGAAGTTTCGTCTCATCCCAGAATAATAGCAGCGCAGAGCTTTGAAGTTGTATCACCTGGCGCAATGTTCACATGTCAAGCCAGTGTCCCAGAAAAAAGAGAATTGATGGCGTTATCGCATCGATGCAGGCTACTGAATGTACACCGGTCAGCGATGGGGAAGTGAGACCGGAAAGGTTCCGTTTCGCAGGCGCGGTGATAGATTGCGAACCTGGTTAATGTTGACCATAGTTCAATAAGATTAAACCAAATATAATTCAGCCAGCGTAATCCGGTGGACAGGGGTATGAAAGTCACATTGCTTCAATGCATGTAGGCTAGATCTACAGTGAACTGCTGCCTATCCAGGTCAAATCTTGCAACATGTGTTGCCATACGGTAGCATCCCAATCTTCAACTACCGCTGCAGACTCTGTGGCTCGAGGGGGATCTTCGGGTATTGGTTGTGGTAGCATATGAGGGTTCTCAGCGTCCTGGGTGTTTGATGTATCTCCTCGAACTTGTATTGATTGGGGCTGTATCCGACTGCTCTCTAACCATGAGAGCATGGATCCAATAACTGCACGGCAATTATCCCAAACATCGTTTCTTCGTGACATTGCCTCCATTTTCTGCATAGCAGCAAGGCCGAGGTTGTGGATATCTCTGTTATAGACTTCGACTGCCTTGCCTTTTGTCGCGGCATCCGAAAGCAAGCTCAGCTTCGATAAAACAAGAAGGCCGTACCAGATGGATGTGTAACTGAACATAGGGAGATTAGGTGTGACCGAAGCCGGCGATGCAAGGAATACCGTCACAATGTTGAACGCGGAACGCGCAATGGCGAGCAGTTGCTGTTTCTCATACTGGTGATGGACATCTCTTTGTCGCCGAAGAGCATGCCCGAGAACAATGGCAGGAATTGCGTTGAGCTCCAAACGAAGGGACCCTAGTCAGATCAGTAAATGGCGAAACTAATCAGTCTCAGATAGACATACAGGTATTACACTGTGTTTCCTGTACAAGAAGATGCTCGATTTGATTCTCAAGCACATCCATAGACTGGAACAGCTCGTCCTTGCTCATTGCACGGATAGGGTCTTCGAACTCTAGCTCCGATTGCTGAGCAAGCGACTGGATCTTAATTAGTGCTTTTAGAGACTGGTCAGTGGGATACTCCGCCCTTTGCCCTAAGCTATCAGCACAATACTCGACCCAGTCTGTATGTTTCATGGTCAGCTGTCGCCGGAATATCGAGGCTCTTATTCTGTTAGTTAATATCACTGTACTGTGATTTAGAAGCTCTCACTTGGAACATAGATAATAGCACCCTAAGAAGGCACGCTGCCCATCAGGAGTCAGGTAGAGTACTTGTCCTTTGTGTAACTCCTCCGCCCCTTTTCCATTATAAGAGATAGACTGCATTTTGAAGTTGTTGTATCTGTCAAGTCCCAAATCAACAACGATGGCCATAGCCATCTGAAGAAGCATGTACACCTGGGTATGATAGATGCGCCAATGATAGTGATACCATGCGATATGAACCAGTAACCCCCGAAGTAAATCCATGTCCCTCTCCATATTCATTACTATGCGGGTAGAGACTACAGTTCGAGCTTCAAATTCCAATTTCTGCTGTAGAGTGGGCTTGTGCTCGAGGCAAGCTGTTATTATACACAAGAGGAGGAATGGAGACTGCTTGCGCAATTCAACAAAGCTCACTTCAGGTATAATAACGAATGGAAACAGGGGCATCAAGTCAGTGCGGAACTTCAAGAGAAGTTCTTCACCTTCAGTGATATTGAGAAGTCCCCGGGTAATAAAATCGTCGAACGGTTCAGGTACAGGGCTTGGCTGTAACGAAGTATTACTGATGGTAGAAGGGGATGGCGTTTCTGTTATACGTGACAGCTCCACCCTCGGGACCTAGTTGAAACAGTTGAGATAGTCTTCTGGCAGGAAAGGGGAGGCATCAGTTTGAAATAGGATACCTTATCAGTATATAATTGAGCAGCAAGTGTATCGATCTGATGCTGGATGACATCGACGCGGCTATTTCTGGAGAGAGGGAGAGAACGTTACCCGACAGCCTACCCCAACACAGGTGTATATTTTCATTGGGCTAACCTGATGCTTGTATTCCTACGCGAGCCGTCTGGAAAAGCACAGTGTCGGTCGAGTCTCGCACATCGTTGACACCGTCCATTCTCAACCGGAACACATTTCACTTTCAACTGAATGCATCGTACACATGCATGCCGCCTTGAGGGAGCTTTGGGTTGCATTGCTCTTTGTATTGGGAGATAGCTCTGGTACCAGGGTGAGGAGTGACACTGTGGTAGAAGCCGGAGGCAGAGGGCAACGCGGCGCGGAGTCGGAGTCGGCCTCAGAGTCGGTCACGGGGCCGGGACCGGCCCTGGCCTACTATGCCAACAGACTACCTAATTCAGTAAACTGTTAGGAGACCAGGGACAGCATAAAACCTACAGTAAAATTTCGAATAACTTCATTGCCATAGACAACTAATACAATCGTTTGAAATCTGGGCCAACCTTGTTGATAATGTCTTCAAGTCCTGACGCGATGTTCAGAGCACAGCCGGTCGGCTCTGTGAAGCTCTATAGCATCTTGGCCGGAATTATGATAGCCACTTTCCTGATATCATTGGATGTCTCTATTATTGCTACTGTGAGTTCATTGAAATTCTCTCGGTTCTATTTGCTTGATTTTTTGTTGAACTAAAAGTTACCTCTCAAAGGCTATTCCTTCAATATCAACCCACCTCCATGCTACAACAGATATCGGCTGGTATGGAGCTACCTATCCGCTCACGATGTGCGCTCTTCAACCTATCAGTGGCAAGCTCTCGTCATTGCTGTCGCTGCGATGGACATACCTCGGGTTCTACGGCATATTCCTTCTAGGATCTCTGATTTGCGGTGTGGCAAACAGTTCCGAAATGTTCATAATTGGAAGAGCAGTCGCTGGTGCTGGAGGCTCTGGGGTAGTGTCGGGTGGTCTCTCAGTCATTGCATTGATAACAACCCCTCAGCAGCGTCCACTGTTCACTGGGCTGATAACTTCTCTTTATGCCCTGGGAACTGTTGTCGCCCCAATTATCGGAGGTGCTTTGGCTGAATATACTTGGAGGTGGTGCTTTCTAATCAATCTTCCAGCAGGAGCAGTGACTGTGGTGACGTTGCTTTTATTTTTCCATCCGCCTCAAAACACCGGGGCCCAACGTGTGTCCTTCCTAAAACAGCTCGATTTGATCGGATGTGCTCTCTTTATCCCCTCCATCATTATGGTGATGTTGGCCTTACAGTGGGGAGGTGGCGAATATCCCTGGGACTCAGCGACCGTGATCGGACTCTTCATCGGCTTTGCAGTGATGATAGCAATCTTTATCTTCTGGGAATGTTACATGGGGGATCAAGCTATGATCCCAATCGTGCTTCTGCGGGGCAGATCGACAATGCTTAGTATTGCATTTGCCTTTTTGTTTTTGGGGTCATTCGTCATTCCGGTCTACTATCTACCGGAATGGTTTCAAATTGTTAAGTCTGCAAGCCCCATTCGCAGTGGAGTTATGCTTCTGCCTTCGGTTTGTACTCAGGTTTTTGGATCCCTTGTCTCTGGAATACTAGGTAAAGACAGGATATATTCTCACTATTTCACAAAAATTCATACTGACGCTGTATTGCTATAGCCAAACACCTCAGATATTATAATCCGTGGCTCTTAATTGGTTCTGCCTTTCTCTGCATTGCGAGCGGGCTTTACACAACTTTTACTGTATCCTCAACGTCCGCATCGTGGATTGGTTATCAGATCTTCCAGGGCCTGGGTTGTGGATTTGCAGCCCAGATTCCTTTACTTACAGTTCAGCTTGTATTGAAGGACAGTCCTCACTACGTTCCAGTCGGGATAGCGACTGTTCTCTTCACGCAATACTTTGGAAGTGCGGTGATGCAAAGCATAGGAGGCGCTATCTTTCAGAACGAATTGAAAAGACAGCTACAAGATCAGGCATCGTTGGATTATAAGCAGATCGAGATGCTTCTTAATACTGGAACCCTAAGGGTGCGGGAAGTTGCTGTACAAGCATTTCCGGACCGTTTAGCCGATATTATCATTGCATACAATAAAGCCATCACAACTATCTTTGTGAGTTAATCTTCTAATCTTGTCACCTCCGTGTTAAGCTGGCGATGCTGACTCGACTAGTATCTTCCAATAGCTGGTAGCGCTCTAGCATTCATTCTATCCAGCGGAATTCCATGGGTCAATACTCGCCCAACGCAGGAAGATGACGATATGCATTGTACAGAGCAAACTGATAAGCTTCAGTCGGACAAACAGGCCACTGTGTGAGGAATCAACGTTGCTGCCCATGGTTCACTGGGGATGCCACTCCAAGCAGAAACATACTTTGTATCTTAGACCGTCTGGAACCTGGATTGGCGCCTGGACTAGACCTTAGATTGCATGGCTGCAGCTGCTTAGACCAATCTCATTTTGCTTGACATCAACCTGTAATGCTCCTTGGTATATAGGTAAGCACAACCCTTCTTCGGTGAGGCCCTAATACAGAAAAACTTTCCAAGATGTCAACGTAAATAGTATTCGGAATACACTAGTAATTCTATGGCCAAAGATATTAATGCATGAGCGTCTGAATTCCTGGATAACTAGAGCAAACTAGGCGACTATATACTAATCACTGAGAATTTTGGCCACGTATATCAATAGCAAAAATAAGAAAAATTGTCATATAGATAGAATCATAAAATCGGTAAAAAATTGTATGACGTTATGGCGATGGCTGACTAATCGAATATCTAGTTACCTAACTAGTTACTAGAGCTGATTATTATGGAAAGGCCTCTCTTGTACCCAGGCAATCCGGAATGGGTTACTTCTATTGAGTGTATCAACTCTACTGGATGGGCACTTCCTCCATGTATTATCTTCAAAGGAAAAGTCCATATTGAGGGCTGGTATCAAGATTCAAAGATATCGCGTGATTGGAGAATTGAAGTTAGTCCTAATGGATGGACTACTGATAAGATAGGCCTTCGCTGGCTTAAGAATCTCTTTATTCCTGCTACTATTAGCCGTACGACTGGGAAATACTGTCTACTTATTCTTGATGGCCATGGCAGCCATCTCACACCTCATTTTGATCAGATATGCAGTGAGAAAGATATTATTCCTATCTGTATGCCTGCTCATTCTTCTCATAAACTGCAGCCTTTAGATATGGGCTGTTTTAAGTCTCTGAAAGATGCTCATGGATACTTAATAGCAGAGAATATACGGGCAGGCCTTAATCATTATGTCAAGCTTGGCTTTCTTAAGGCCTTTCCCCAAGCTCACGCGATTGCTTTTAATGCGAAAACTGTTCAGATTAGCTTTGCAGGTGCTGGTCTAATTCCATTAGATCCAGATAGGATACTTAGTGAGTTGAATATTCACTAAAGACCCCTACACCACCAGGCAGTTGATCAACTAATTCAGCACCTAAAACACCCTATACAACTAGGCAGCTGGAAAAGCAAGCATCTACTGTGAAAAAGCTCCTTCGAGCACGTACGCAGAGCCCACCATCTTCACTAGAAGTGCGATTAGACAAGATTATTAAAGGGCATGAACTAGCTTTAAATAACTAGAGCGACCAATCTAAGCCACGGAACTTGTGGCCGAGCAGAGGGTGGAACTGATAGATATCCTGCAGCCCCCCTCCATGTATTAAGATTCTCCAAGCTTTAGTCTCGTAATGAATGGACATACAAGTTGCGCCTAAGATTCTCCAATCGCATTTCCTTGCCTAATCGACAGGTTATCTACCCTGATAAGTAGTTCCGTTACAATTATTTATTCAATGTAAAAAGTTTGCCGCATTGCTCGACGGTGCGGAGAAGGCATGGTTAGAGTCGTTGAGGGCATGTGGTGCGAGCATGGAATCTTGATACTGCCTCTGCCTAATTATATTGCTCTCCAATGCACAACAAATTCTACGCTTTTGGTATAATTATCTACCATACTATCGAGGTCTACTGGCTGATGTTCGTTATAGACTGACTGTATAAGAAGTAAGTATTTATTTGAATTGCTTGCTTTTCTCTTGTCCTGGTTGGCTGGTGTTTGCTTTCTGGTGGGTCTATAATCGACGCTTTTCCTATAATGGCGGACATAAAGTGCATTCTATAGAAGCGCTGCTGGTGGGAGTCAGGTCCACTATATTATGAGATATAGGAACATTTGCTGCTATAGCGATGAACACATAGACTTTCTAAGTCTTTTGTATATCAATACACTGGTGCACAGTATGGCACTATTGTCCAATTCTAACAATCGTAGAAAGTATACCATAGAACTAGGTTACAGCATGTACGGATTCCAGAGGGGTTATGCGAGAGGCCTATATATGTCCCACTAGAGCTGGACTTGAGCGATCTTTTAATCAATCAGAGACATGTTAACACTTTACAAGACAAATGAATATGAACTTCATCAAAAGCGTAGCTGATATGGCTGCAGTCTGCAAAATACTTAACCGGTTGCTGACCGCCACCAACCATTGTGCCGGCAATTCTGCCACCGCCCGGACTTATCGCAGGACTGGACAACTTGCGTCCAGCCTTGCTTCTTTCCTACAGTCTGTCATCTCCCATACGTCTGTTGCCAATCAATCAATCCAACAGGTCGTCCCCGCGTGTTCCTAACAATACCTATTCTCGAACGTGAGTCAAGGACCCCTTACAATATAATCGAAACCACTAACAACGCCGCACAGACCATATTCTGGGTCACACCGAAACCTGAAACTACACACAATATCTACCTAGCTAGCTAGCATCTAGCTATACAAGATCTTCACACAACCACGACCACAACCACGACCACGACAACGATACCCAACACCATCAACCCCACAAATTACCACACATAGAAGAATTCAAAATGGCCTCCATCGACCTCTTCACCCAATACCCCCTCCACCTCGACCCAACCAGCAAAGCCATTTCCCTCAGCAACACCACCACCACGCCCCTCCCCACGCCCACCAGCACAATAACCACCGAACTCACACATCTCAATGCACTCCACCGCTCCCTAATTTCCCTCGACCCGCCCAACATCCCCCCTCCCCCACTACCCATCAACCCCAAGCGCAGCGCCCAAATCACCAAACTCCGCGACAGCGCCAACACCGCATACCGCAAATCGAACCACGCTGAGGCGGCTCGCCTGTACACATACGCCATCGATATGGCGTTGGGCCGCCCCGGGTGGGAACCGGTCACGCTGGCCAGGGACGAGTTGGCGGGGTTGTATGCGAATCGGGCGCAGGCGTGGATGAGCCAGCGCGCGTGGCCGGAGGGGTTGGTCGATGCTAGATGTAGTGTTGAGAGTAAGCCCGTGGCGAATGTGAAGGCTTGGTGGAGGGGTGGGAGGTGCTTGGTGGAGATGGGCAGATGGGAGGAGGCCAAGGGGTTCGCGGAGAAGGGATTGGAGATTGAGGGGAGGGTTAGTGAGGGGGGAAAGGAGCTTTTGGGGTTGCTGGGTGAGGTGGAGGAGGGGTTGAAGAGGAGTAGTGGGAGTGCTTGAGTCGGAGTTGTAGGACGATATGTTGGATGAAAGGATGCCTGTGGATATGTGTTAGGAGAAGGATGTGAATCGAGCTGGGATTCGATTATCTGGCGTACATTATTACTTCATTATTATATTTCCTAATGGCGTTATGGTTGTATGAATATCATCATGCATTGATTGCGTTCTATCCTCCCAATCCTACTACGTATCTTCATAATATAGAAAGAAGCTGCTATGTGATCAGCGCTATGACCCAAACAAATTCCCTCCAAAGCTATCCCAAAAACAGCCTAGCACCTACACAGTAACAGTAAGGCTGAAACTCCAAAAAAATAAAAAATATGAAACACGGTGACGATCAACCCTCACAACCAAAAGCAAAACAGTGACGCAAAAACAAAGTATGAAAAAATGATGAATGAAAAAAGAAACTCCGATGCGGGGAATCGAACCCCGAGCTGCTGTGTGAGAGACAGCGATGTTAGCCATTACACCACATCGGACTTTGTTGGAAATCTGTGGTACAGAGTAGATTATATTGGACTGAAAGGTTTTTATGGTGTGGTTCGAGTGGGGACGGTTCCAGTTGGGTGGAGTGGGGCGGGAGGTGAGGGTTTTGCGTTTGCGTCATGGTTCGTTGGGGGTTCGTTTGGCTACTGGAGGGTTGGGTTGTGGGTGCTGGTATTGTTGGTTTGGATTAGTATGAGGTGGTTGCATTAAGAGTGTCTTGTCTATATACTGGTGTATAGTTGGTTATAAATTTGTGATTCTTGGGAAGGATTTTAGTTTTAGTAGTTTGGGTAGTATGATGTTCATTGAGTTATAGAGGTCGATGATATAAATCTCCGTAGTACTAGTAGCTAATAGACGGTACTTATAAGTATTAGGCCCCCATTGGAATATAGCGGAAGTGATGCGGCTCCTGGTAGTATAGAGGTGCCATACTCGGATGTGAGCTCCCTTTTCTCACGTCGGTGTTGATGGTCGATAGAGTCTCCCCCATGATTGCGTATAATTTTTGTTCGGCTGCAGGTCTGGTATCACTTCCTAGAGTTTCGGGTCAGGAGACAGAACTACTCGCCCCTGGCAGGAGTAGTTTCAATTCTTTCTACTCGAGTAAAGGCAAGCACCAGTAGTACTGGAAATACTCGGTAAACACCATTGTCATCACTGCACAGCGTCGCATAGAGCGCCAGTTGGATATCATAAACATCAATGAATAGATAAACCCCAAACCCTTCCACCATTAGTTGCTCCCCTCGAGTCATTCTGAATGGAAATTGAGAGGCAGAGACACCTCAGAAGAGCTGAGGTTCCGCGGTTGCGAAGTAGAATAGTGGCAGTCATCAGTAGACCAAACTTGGTTTTCGGCTCCCTCACTGTCCAAGCAGACCCGGATCCCGGTTTTCTTTCATCACGGGCCATTAGTATGGAGGAATTTAGGATCTTTGAGAGGCCCAGACAATCCCAGAGCCTCTTGCGCCCATCTCCATGACCTGAAGGTCATGGGCGCCAGCGAGTGACTTGAAGAATGGAACATCGCGTCGGCGTCGGTTGAACATTGTGTCAGGCCTTAATCTGCGGGTTTCATTCCGGCCTCGGCTTCTCAGGACTGAGCATGATGAATATTGACTTGACCTTTAGATCCTTCAGGACATAAACCGTCAACCATATATACTCTTATGGAGTAAAAAGGAGATAGTTTCCCAGGTTTTCCCGAGTTCGACAGTCAAATAACATAACGTCCAGCATGAGGCACCGCAGAAGGATCTCCACCAACCCGTGACAGCTACTAGCTGCCAACGGAGCACCTTGCCGTCGTGCATTCCTTTTGTTCTGGAATCTCAGTAGATTCCTGGTCTGGATCTTCATCATCCATTGAAACTCCATATATAGTTGCTTCATAGATGGGAATGCTCACAGCTGCATTGTGCTCACGGGATCTCGATTCCGACCTATCCCAGGCGGTGCAGCGCATCGTTTGTATACTTTCTGATTCAGTCGGCGGATGGTCGTACCCTGCTCTGCCTCGGGGAACTCAGCGAAGGCCTTGACCTTCTTGGAGAAGGTGAGTTTGGTGATCAATTCTGCGCTGAGATGCGCGCCAATCGCCATCCAATTCCGTTCGGTTATCGCGGATACCTTGGAATGTAATTCGCCTGCTTTCCTGGTGTACTCCCTCCTAGAGCTCCTGGGCATACCGTTGAACTCTTCTATGGAGTTTGGCTTGCCGCGAAGGGCCTGTTCTGCGATGGTGCATACTCCAGCCACCGCGGTGTCCCATCCCTTGATATCCTCCATGAACTGGATGGCCTCGACGAGACGGGCGCCCTTGTTCGCGGCAGCCCGCATATTCTATCGGAACTGTTACAGCTTCTGCATGAACTGGTCCAGCACCGCCTTTCTTATCGCCCGTTGTGAACCAGCGTGCTCATCTCCAACAACCAGCTCAACGATGTCCTCCAGCGAGAGAGCTTTTCCCCTCCAATCGCATTCGCGGGTCGTGAGCAGCCCGTCTGGGGATAGCTTCGCATACCCAAGGCGAAGCTCGCATGTTGGGTATTCGTCTGCACAGGGCTGTCTCTTCCATTGGATGGACACTGCGATGTTCTCATCATCGACTCGTAATGTAGCAAGTGTCTGGGTTACCCTCTAATTCTGGGTGCGTAGAAGTCAGTTTCGCTTAAGTTCACTGACAGCTATTAACTAGACCAAAGGAGATATATCTTGTCGAGCAGTGATGCATCTGTCTACTGACATGAGCAAGGCTGGTACTGCATGTGATGGTAGCTGTTTACCCGCATAGTATAGAAGGCGTTGAATCTCTGTGTCACAGACTTCATTCCAGCTCTCAACTGATTGAACGAATGGGGACGGACGACGACATGCATTGAGCGGCCATTACTCAGGCGTGCTTCGATTGCTGGCACTAGTTCGCGGCTTGCTTGAACCATTCGAGGTTTGAGAGTACTATATCCTCTCCGGCAGAAGTCGCTGAACGGTGATGTACCTCCTTACTAAGGATGTGCTTGGTGACAAACTCCCGGATGCAGAGCAACCGCTCGACCTCTGTCCCGGGAGGGGCCTCAACAATCTGGCGTACACGGCTGCTGGTGAACGTTGCCTTTACATCGGGATTTGAGGGCAAGAGAAGTCCGATGTATCCCAGAAAATCGCGTACATCATTATAGAAGGGTGTGGCGGTTAACAGGACGCGGAACCCGGCACGTAGCCATATAGAGGATATATAATGGCGCCGCCAAGTCGAGCTTCTCATAATGCTGGGTTGATGCATAGCTCTTTGCCAGGAACAGACATCCACACAGTCTCATTCTCTTCCTTCAGGTCAACTTGATCGCGGAGGATGGGCAGCATGCCCCGCATTCTCAGTGAAGTTCTGGGCAAAATTCATATTCGAAATCGGCTTTTATTTAAGTTGACAGTCCCAGTCACGAGAGCAATATGCTTGTAACCCCCATCTGGTGACCATGAATGCCTTTTGTTCGCTCTTTCTTTATCACAGTCTTGGCTTCAAGAACTTCTTCCAACTAGGATCCAGTTGCTGAATGGCCGCTAGGGACAGAGAATATATGGCGCGATAACTCTCTCCATGCCGATAAAGTGCAAGGGCTGGATTCAGATTGTGCCTTCTCAGCTCACCTTTGTTCCAAAGGAACGGCTTGGCTTCTACCGAAAGTGCACATAGAGTTGTTATCTCTGATCTTATTCCCCGCTTCCAGCGTCGGAGATAACCATCTCTGAGGGGAACATATGAGAGGTAACCAGGCCCATCCCTGGTCACTGAATGCTTTTGTTTTGTAAACAGTATTGACAGGCCATAGTAGTCACCGCACTTTCTATGTTTGGAGCAAATAGTAGCTTTAAACCTTCAAGAGTACCGGAGGTCATTGAAAAAAACGGTGGTGATGGTATGAAGACGTGGCATCTGCGTTGATGTTCCTGTAAATGAGGGTTTGTATGGCCGTCCCCAGTCATCCTTATAGCAGAGGGTGACATGGGGATAACTGGAACGACGAAGGATTGGAGAGTAGATGTCTAAATCGAGTAGAATGCCGGCAAAAGCAGGCAGTGCCAGTTTAATGAAGAAACAATAACGCGTTAGAGCCTTGAGGTTGGGGCGATATATCACAAAAATGTGGCACCCCGCAAGCAGTACTCGCAGATGAACAACATCCTGCTGGATGACTACCGACCACGTAGTAACAATGCTCGGACCCCTCAGATCGCTCATCTACACCGAAAAGTAATGCTGTTAGTAAGCTAGATCTGGCTGACGAGCTCCTTTGAGTCGATAGAAGAGAGCATCGCCCAGAGTGGCATATGCCCGGAAGAGTCGCTGGATGATGGCAATTGCGAGGCATGATGCAAGCGAGAGTGAAAGGGGTAAGGTCCACACATGAAGAGACCACGGGAGGAGTAAAGACGCGCAAAAAGTGATGGTTGATGAGAAGATGCAAGGCTGCACGAAGAGAGAGCAATTGCTGCTGAATCAAGTACAGTTCAGCTAAACAAGTATGTCGAACAATCATACTCCGGGGTTAGAGGCACAGCAGTAGTACTTGACAATGTCAATTCGAACATCACTGCTCGGATGCTTTGAGCATGATCGCTCCACGGGTTCTTGACGACTGGGGCAGTTCCAGTGTTACTAGGATCCAGGCAGTAAAACCACACGACACTAATAGCGGGTTTGAAGCAGGAGATATCTTGTTTCCATAGCATCTCAAGTTGCTAACCAGGTGCATACAAAAACCAGCTCTGCTGCGATTGTTTCCAAAGTATAAGTAGGTGGGCCTTTAGCCCATTGCCCCATGATTTGTGGTACGATGATGAGCAATGTGCGAGTTACCCCGTGCCCTATATCGTCATTTCGGCCGTGTTGCGATAGGTTGGCTCTGAGATGAGTGTGCACCGATAAAGCGACACAATATGTTATCGACAATATTCTTATAATATATCACTATCCATCAACCATATCATAAAATGGTATTGTCATTGTACAATAGGACCATTAGTCGCAGCTAAGCCGGTGCTCCGATCAGTCTGAGGCCAATTCCTTAGACCAAGTGCCCTTCAGAAAGACACCAAGGTTCAACCGGAGGAGTGAGTCGTGGCCATAGAATGGACGGACTAACCCACTTCTGGCCGATACGTAGTAGCTCACCTTGACAATGCTCAATTCTCCATCCCAGCCGTCTTCGCCTTCCTTGAGCTCAGCAAAGAAGCCAGTATATCACAAACTGCGATCAGTGCGGTCTTTGTTGCTTCATGGTCTTGAAGCTGGATTACTTTCGGATTTATAAGCTGGATGAGATAGTCTGTTACTGTTCCACGCCACCAAGCATGCCGGGCGGAGACGCAACCATGCGACATCAGAGTTATCGGTATCAGAATCCATATTCGTATCACGTCGATGCCTTTTCAGTAGCGGAGAATTCAGTGCATCCAGTTCCGCGCGCCAAAGAGCAGCTCTCAGTACAGAACGTAAGGAGCATTGATAGTGCAACCTTGGGCGATAGATGGAGACCGAGTTCTTCATAGTCTGAAGATTTAAAGATAGTAGGCACCTGAGAGAAACGACAGACGGGGAAGCTGGTAGGCAAGAATCAAAATGTTGCGTGCGTTCTTCCTGGACTTACTGCTCTTCAAAACCGTCTTGCCGGCACCGCCAAAAGTGGGCCAGAGCAGCAAATAATGCAGTTCGCTGCCTTGTTCGTGGGGTTTGCCAAATCAGCTGCGCGTTTCAAGCTGTTTGGAGCATAAGCCATGAAGGGATCCGCCGGGAAAGACAAAGAAGTCGAAGAGGCCGATTCTTGCGAGGATACCAAGTGGCCAACGGTCTGCATTATAGAGAGATGACTCCAAAGGTTCCAGGAAGACCAGAGAACCGCCTGTGAAGCTGGTCGGGGTCGAAGTCTAAGGCATCAGTGCTAAGCTTTACCTAAAATGTTCAGACGATGACATCATGCCTCGACGGTTCTTCGAGAGAGCACAAGATGAGGGTAAAGTGCAGTGTATATATAGAACAACAAGGCTCTGGGTGCCTTCTAGTCATTTATGAGATGGTCCGGTTCATGGACAATAGGGTATATGACTTTTATAGGGCAGGTTGTTCGACCGGTAATTGCGCACCGTATGTGCTGTGTGGAAGAGCAAAGCAGTTGATTATATCATAAACAGACAGAAAATGACCGGATGGGACTGCAAGGTATTGCCAATCTGAGCTCCTTCATGTAGTGTATCTGTTGCGTTGTCTAGAAGCGACTTTGTTGATGAGAGGTCGATGAGCAGAAGCAAGAAGGTCATATTGAAATGAACAGCCCGGTGACTGAGAAAGTCTTCGTAAGCATGAAATGCAGCAGAGCGCTTGATTCAACGCTGTATGAGGTCAGACACCAGCTGACGTTTATACCGTTATTCAAGCGTAGAACGCAGTGCAAATGACAATGCCAACGTCGAAAGCGGCATATTTGTATGGCGCTCTGCCCAGTTCAGGTTTGAGATTGTGATAGTCGATCCAACCAACTGTATTATAAGCTCCAATTATTTTGGCAAAGTTTGTTAATCCGATGTCGTTATCCTCGGTCTGTCTTTGGGGAGTTTGGGGACTTGTGGTGTGTCGTTTCATCCCGGATTCTTCATGCACTCAGCCCAAGGAATATGGTATTCTTTCGTGACGGAGGTAAATCAGAATACACTCTCTGCTTAACACTGCTTGAAATATAGTGCGAAGATGGACGAGAGCAAGTACATTTTCGGAATATTTCCAGGAAGTAAACATCCAACTAGGAGAAATTCACTCAAGCGCTGCTCACCAGCCAGCTTACGCTGGTCTGATGGACTAGAACAGTCATATATGAAACTGCAGCTTATCCAGTTCTGAACGGAACAATGGAAATATAAGGTGCCGCATTTGCTTATACTTGCGTACTCGGGGAAGCTAAGACGCCCACAGTAGCTCGGCTTCAAACCTTACTGTTGGAGGACAATGTAAGGTCTTTTCGAGGTTTTGCCGGAATATCGCTTGGCAGTCTGTGTGGCCCGTGAAGATGATGTGGACCACCAGAGTCACGTTGAAGTCTTGAAGGAACGGTATTTCTTCATACATGATCCCTTGCCGCAATGAAGAGTGGGCAGCCCCATCGAACATCAGTATGGAAGTGTTGTGTACTGGGTTAACCGCAGATGAGATCACCCAAGTATAAGAACAAAAGCATTGTCTCACCACTGCGTTTTCGGAATCATTTGCTTGACGGGATGTCAAGATCAAGTTCCGAAACTGGTCAACACAGAGCACTCTGAACCGCTGGATCTTCCCCAATTCAGCCTTTGACCATGCTAATTATGGTTCCAATCACGCCTTGCTCGATCAGTAGGATAAGCAATGATGTGAAGCGATGGACGTATTCGAACGGGTTTTCGAAAGTACGATATATAATAGCCAAGGCAGCACCCATAGCCTTCACCAGCTACCGCGCACCCTGAACAAAAGCGGGTCGCCGTGAAGACCAGCCGACGCAAGATTTGACACTTCCAGAGAGCCAAAAACCATCAGTGCGCGCAGAAAACCCGCTGTAGCCATAACGGACTGAGTTATCTTTGACAGTTAGCAAGGATGCCTTTGGAAAATCATAACGCGAAAATGAAATGGTAAATGTCATACAGCCTGCCTTGCGTCGACGCACCAGCTGAAGGTACGCTGGCATTCAAAGGCTGCATTTACCAGAAATAGCTTTCCTAGGCTGAATAAGTGGAGAAGAACAAGTACCATCTAAAGTATCTTGACATACTCATGACTCAGTTGGCCCGCGGCTGTGACTAGCTGGCCACAATACTTCTGGAATATTGGTGGATGTGGTGGATATAGTGACGTCTCTCAATAGAGTTGGTAGATTGATGAAGCAGGATGTGATTGTTTGTGGACCGATAGCAACATCATCAGCTTTCCAGGTCTTAGAAGAACTATCTCAGTCCCGTCGATTTCGATCGCTTATGCCTGTCGGAATCTTCTTCCGCAGGGCCAAAGGCATTCTAGCCTTTCCAGATTGTCCGATGCAAACGAAAAGACGGATCCATCCATCTCCATCTGTTTCGATCATAGGCGGTTGCATTTGGCCAGCTTCGCTTTCATCTGCGTAAAAGGATGATACTATTCTCCTTGACTCTCTCAGATTGCGCTTTGTATATGATGGTATTAACCGATACTGGACTTTTTGCGGAACGACATTGTCTGCATGTAGAATCAGCATCAGCGATATGTAGTGGTGCATTTTGGTGATCCCTTTACATTTACGAACCATTTCCAGCTATTCTCGGAGGCGGTGCTTCTTGTCTGTGGTCGAAGATGCTTTAGACATCGAATGTCCAGAACTGTGGTATCCAGAGGCATTATCTGGTCGATGTCATCAGACGCCATTTTAAGTTTAGAATGGTCACGCATTTGCTCAACAGCAATATTCCCTGGCAAGCCGAGCATGATGGAGCGCCAGCCAGAGATATACCAGTTGAGAGAAAGTAGCAACAGCGACAACATCATTGGTCGTAAACAATATGCAATTCAGAAAGCCCAGCAGTATTACCTGAAGTTCTGTTCCTCAGATAATGGGCCTCGTCGCATATGACGAGGTCAAAGCATCCACCAAGACTGTGCGGAAAGTCGGATCGGATGGACTCAGTCGGCTTATACTTCTCCGAGTATTTGTTCTTGTGCCACTCAGAGACTGCAGAGAGACCATGGCGCTTCTCAAGAGTATTGTAGGTAGTAAGTACCATTGAATATCTGCCATCGAAATCTGGCTGAAACATCGGATGCTTTTTAGTCAACTTATTCTTGACATAGAGGGAGCTTCCCGTCTGTGTCCGATTATCACCGAAATAGACAAACGTCTAGTTTATTGCTTAGCTTGCGCAATTCAGATGACCACTGGTCCAGCAGGTGTGGAGGAACCACAATCAAAGTAGGCTTGGTAGTGAATTTCTCGCCTGCTTGCAGCTTCTTGCGCTTGTCCCGGGCCACCTGCTAGGCGTTAGCTGTATTTGCCTAATACCAGGATTCCTTGCAGGGCTCACTTACTGTCAGAATGAATGCAATGAATTCGATTGTCTTCCCGAGGCCCACAGCGTCAGCGAGGATGGCGCCTTTGGTTACCTGGGCGCACCAGATCCGCCAAAGCCTCCAGACGGCCGGCCCCTGCCAAATAACGAGAAGGGTTATAAGAAGGGGACGACACAGATAAATCACTGGCAGTGGAGCAGGTAGGCAGCACACTGGTTCATAACGTGTTTGTTGGGCGAATGAAAGCAGTTCCATTGAGCTGCTTGACCGAACGAGCTTCCGAGCACATATTACGCTCCATGCCCCCATTCCTTCGTTCGCCCGAAGACGTAGGCATCGAACGACGCCGTCTCAGGGAAATCATATACTCTCCGACCAGGCCGAATGCGTCGAGACCAGGCACAGTCCAGATCAAGATGCAGTACTGGAGGGGATGACGTGAACGATTTAGACGAAGGATATGGCAGGTTGAGAACGAAACCTCTTTCTCACATAATGAATTTTGGCACAAGAACCAGAAATTCTGGGTTGGGTGGATTTCAGTGTTATTGGTTGGGGGTGGTTGGATGTGCTGCACAACATCTTGCCTTGACTGAACGAAGGCCTGGCCGTTCTTAAACCTAGAGCAGCTCCATTCATAGGTGAGGTAGCGAGATGTGGGTGATATGACCTCTTTCCCTTCTCTCTGGCGTCGCTTGTCTTGACTTGATAGCATAATTGTCCTCGGTGTTTGGTCTCGCAGAATACCTCTTAGACGTCTTATAAGGGTCAGTAGACATCATCAAGATCCAGCGGGGATGGATACAGCATCACTCGCCAGATCGTACACTGTCTTGCTCATTCATACCTGCAACATGACATTGGATACAGACTGACGCGCGTAAGCTGAACTCGATCGTGAGGACAGACAACTTAAGTGTGACGTTTCCAGATTCGCGGCTCCTGAATCGGAATGGAAGTCATGAGGCAGGATAGAATATCGTCTTGTCTATATCGAGAGAATAAGGAACACAGTGGAACAAGACATAGAACCACCGATTAGCGCTAGTTGCAGTGTGCATAGAGAAAGTAACTAACGGAAACGCTAGTTCTACTCATCAAGCTGACGCCAGGATGTGCTCCCGGAGACATCTACCACCAAGCCGGCGGTAGTTGATTCATTGTTGTGAATAATGAAGCAATCTTTGTTTGATTCGAACAAACGCACTTCATAGTACTTTTCTGCCCTGGAACCAGAACCAGATAATGAGCTCTTCAAAGAATGAGTTTTCTTCCCTGGCCGCAGCCAGGAACCTTTCGGCACATGCTGATGGTCTCTGCAGTCTCGGATACCCATATTCGGCTTTGATGGCTCTGGACGTTGAGTCCGAGATTCCTCAAGAGCATTACGCTCTCAAGCCGTAAGGTGCAACAAACATTCCGGTGGAGTGGCTAGCCACAATAATGGCCTAGCTGGATCAGATGCTTTGCCAAATGAGGGAAGAATGTCATAAGATAAATTTGAAGAGGCCCATGTGGGAAACGATGTATGCTCGAGGATGTATCGGACAATGTGGACTAAATCTCTCCAGAACCCATGGTCCCTTCGTCTTGGTATCGACGGAATGTTATGCTGTCAGGTAGCCTATCGCACTGCACAATTGGAAAGTTCGTGGGTGTAGTTTTATAGGAGGTTTGCCCATGTGTTTCACGATTTGACTGGAGTGATGCTAAAGATGACTCAAAGATCTTAGTGGCGTAGATGGCGGCAACATAGGCTGAGCTCACTGTGCATCTCTTGGTTAGTCTAGACCCATGAACATATTGAAGATTTCCGCGAAGAACCGATAGTATGACGGTTTGTCGGAGCACCAAGGTGCAATTATAACAGCAGCGGTGTTGGCTAGCAGACCAATCATGCGTATTGAGCATAATGAAGGTACATCGGAAGAGTGGCCATATTACTAAAGACGTAGAGAGATAGGACCTGTCAAAATGGTCTTGTGCTAGGCTATTCGTGAGGATATTCCCTAGCGGTATAGAGGCACTGAAGTAAAAGATGCATTGTGTCTTGTCCCTGGTAAGGCTTTTGACCTCCGTAGACCGTAGAGTTTCAGATGCACAGAAGAGTAAATCCTCAGTTTCCGCAGCTCGTGTTAAGCAAACTTTCGAATGCAGTGTTCGTCTGAGACCTATATGTATGGTGACCATTCGCCTAAACTGACCGAATCGTTGCAATAGTTCGTGACTCGAGAGTACTGAGTGCTTCAGGGAGGGATGCTCAATCAAGCCAACCCTATCGTATAACCGAAGCATAAAGATACCAGCATAGCACGTTCTGCAGCACCAGGCGATCGCACCATGACCACGCCGATCGATGGGTATATATTCGTTCTCTCCATCTGGCAAGCCATAGTATTCAAGGATATCGACCGACTGAAATGCAGCATTCATCATATCGGCAGTCACTTCAACGATGTTGTCGACGAAATAGTACATTCCTTTCGACAGGGGCATCATGAAGGTGTCATTGAAGGACGTATCGACTATCACCAAGTAAATCGATGATGTGCTAACCTCGACGCTAATGGAAGTTGAGCATCGTAGTTATGCTGGTGTGAGGAAGCTAGGGAGAGTGATATGAAATGAGACGACAGACAATATCTTCAGCTCTGAGATATCGCTGATGATTTAAGAATGGATATAGGTCTCTTCACGGGATACGAGGGGATATGGTGACTCATATGGCAGTTACCAGAGCCATTCGAGGAGATGAGAAGAGGACCATTCCAGCACATAGTATAGACGTCCAACGATGAAGAGGAAAAGTAGGACGCTCATTATATCAAGAGGAAGATGGTGTTAGGATGTATCTTTTGTCGATGGTGCCATGAGATATAGATATAATAAAGAAGAGTATATACTTTGAAGATGCCAATGGGCGTGTGAGGAAGAGAGGGGTGAGGAGGAAAAGAAAGGAGAAGGGGGCGAAGCGGGCTTTTATAATAGCTGCAGACCGGGTATCAGCTGATCTAATTACCATCCACGAGTGTGAAGCGAGTTGGTGAAGAACAATATTCATACAATACGCGACACGTATGGAATCACTAAGGGTAGGGAATCGTGAATCAGAAGTCGTAGTGAGTGCTCATAATTTCATCAGGCGATGCATTTCTATGGCTGAGAGACAAGAGAAGCATGCACTGGTATCTCGCCATAGACCAATTAGCTTCTGAGGATATAGCCAAAAGGAATTCCGGGTAATTGGGGAAAGGGAACTAATGAAGAGAGTGAAGATGTCTGCGCATGCAGCAGAATATGTGATTCGGAAATTTCCATTAAATCACCCACCAGTGTGAATCAACACCCGGTATCTGTTGATTCTTATTGCGTCACTATTGCAAGGGTGTGAAGTGACTAAGGCTTCACGGGATGAGTTATTAATGAATTCACGTGCAGTGTGGTAATAAAAGGGAGTTTGGTAAAATGTGACATGGAAGCCATCATGATGTGGGCAAAGGCGATCTGTACGGATTTGGAATATGCACCGCCAGATTGTAGGATTTCCATGTTCGAAGAAACCAAGAGAAGCAGAGGGCATCAATCAAGCAGATTACTACGGCAGCAATCTACAGGTCTTCACCACAATCCCTTAGTGGCCAATGCAAACTGATCTTGAGAATCCTATTCAAAAGCTAACTAAATGCTACTAAAACAGAAACCATGATGGGAATCATAGAGAATACTCTAACAAAGGAAACGCACTTGAAAGACAAAATTAGACCTGAACACTAGACCCATCACTCTTCTTGCAAGAAGAGCACGCCCCAGTGCCAGCCGCAACTTGAGACGGCGTGCGAGCAAAGCTAGGAGGGACGTCCAAGGCAGGGTTCCTCGCGAAGAAGTGTCTCGGACGAAGAAGCAGGGTCATCGGCTCAGCAGGCATGATAGGATAGTCTTCAGGGGCAGGGAAGTGTGTAAGGCCAAACGTATGCCATAGGACGACGTCCGTGTTCTCGATAGATGAATTCGGACCAGCGGCTTCAATCCAGGCTGGCAGACCATGGGATGGTTCACCCGAGGTTTGGGGTACGTGGCGACCGGCAGGGTGAATTTCGTCATCAGAGTCTTTATTCGGAAGTTAGTGAAATGGTTCATGTACAAAAATGCAGGGCAGTGACTTACACTTAGTGACATGCACGGCATGTCTAGCGAATCCAGCCCGCTTCCAGACCAAACTACCTTCCTTCGGAAGCAAGGGAGGCACTTCACGGCTGACGAGCTTGTAGCAGACAGGCTTCTTGCTGTGGGGGTTCAGCTTGTTGGTGTTTGCAATTTCCCAGGTTCTGGATGTGTTGCCGTCATAGTCGGACATTGCTTCAAGAGGGGTAGTGAACTTTGTCTTCTTGGCGTAGAATGCGTTTCCGTACGGGTTCTCAGCACTTCCCACCTCCGCTTCACTGCGAGTTGCGTCGACTTGGAAGACGGTGTTGTTGGGTCCGTCGACATTAGCGTCCACACGCAGACAGAACAGATGCTGGTGGTTGTGTGCGTTGACTCCAGGGTAGACTTCAGTACCCCAGCCCTTGGTGTCCTCGCCGGGGTTCATGGCGTAGGTGTTCAGAATACCGGTGAGCTTGATGTCGAGCTGGATAGTACCGTCCTGGTGGAAGATCCAGTAGACGCAGTACTCGTAGTTGGCGGCAGTGAAGATGTGGGAGATGACCAGCTTCCGGCCACGAGTTACAATGACAGACTCGTCACGGAAGTCGGTGTGCTTGAAGAGGATACCGGCGTCTTCCTCGTGGATACAGATGGCGTTCTTGATGATCGTGCTGGCACCCGCACGGTTGACAAAGGCAGCATCCATGTAGTGGATGGCGCCCTTGCAGTCGCAGCCGAGGGAAAGACTGTTGGTCATGTAGCCACCGCCGTACTCTCCCAGGTCGAAAGCGTGCTTGCGCTGATGAGGGTGCTCAGGATTTCCGTAGGGGACGACCATCTCTGCGAGAGAGAGACGGTAGAACACGGGGCGGACATTTCCATTGTCATTGAAGGTAATGTTGTTCAAGACGATACCCTCACGGTAGTTGAAACCAACGTGGATGTTCCACTTTTGCCAGTCGATAGTACGTCCGTTGATACCGAAAGAAACACCCTCTGGCTGAGTGATGTGAATGGGCTTAATATCCGTCCTGTAACCACCATCTTTCTCAATCGACGCGGGGTGGTAGTTGTTGGGAGGCGCCTTGCTGATGGGCCTCCGGACCGGCGGGATATCGATGTGAATGACCTGCTTCGTTTCCGCATTGAAGATAGGGCAGAAGTCCAGAGGAAACGTGTATTGAGAATCGTCAATGTGGGGACGGTAGTACATAAGAGCCTGTTGCAGACGAACACCATTGCCGAAACGCTCGTCGTATCCGATTGTCCAAGCTGCAAACGAATTAGCAACATGCAAGTCAGAACAAGTCGTACAACAACAACTTACGATCGCAGTAAACCTTGTGCATTTCCTCCTTAGGAATGCCGATGATCGCGCACTGCTCAATGACCTTGGGATCCTGGCGAACAATCGACTCAACCTCCTGCAAATCTTCCATGGTGATCAGGGGTTGCACGCCAGGCGTGTGTTCCCATCTCAGGATCTTTTTGTTATCAAGGTCGACGATTCCATCGTAGACCTTGCCGCCAGGCGCAATGGCAACGATATCCGCAGCACGAGTGGGACGGGGAGCCTTCTGCGGGTTTTCCAGCCATGCCATCATCTCCGCCTTGCGGGGCTCATACAGAGTGACCGCATTGAAGTTGACCTTGCCATACTCCTTGCGGATAAGGGCGACAGCGGTGTCAATTTCTACTGTCGAGAGGGGATCCAGGGGATGAGGAGGAGGAGAAGTAGCTTGGACCTGGTGGGTCAGCTGTTGAAGGCGCTCGAGAACCATGATGAAGGAGCGGTGTAATGCAAGCGGAATTGCGTATCAACGAAGTCCGTGGTGTGCAGCAGAAAGTATGGGAGAGGTAAGAGTATATGTTTTCCTCACTTGGAAAATAAACCGGCGACCTGGCCGGGTTGTACGGTAGGACAAGTAACGAAGAGGTAAAGTGATGCTACCACACAGACTGTGTGAAACCATAGTCGACACAGAGGGGGACAACCCACCTTATAAGCAGCAAGCGCATGGCTGCACGAGCGCATTGCCAGAGGAGGATATGATTGTACAGCACGACTGCTGCACCACCGATAAGATACGCCTCGATAAGCACGCACGGATTCCTTGCCTCGAAGCGGTCTAGTGCCGACTGCTTCTCCGCCGCGACTCAAAGCGGCAATCGGAACCTTGTCCAAGACTACCGGTGAGATAGGCTACCCCGGATTCGCAGACTGACCCGAGCGTCGGCCTGGAAGGGTCCGATCTAGGCATCGGATGTGGTTGCCCCTATCAGGTTCACCAAGGGATGGCAGTCAGTCTTCGTTCCCCTCCTGATGCAAGATCAGCAGACCGATCGCGGACGGGGTAATACAACGCGTTCTGCATCACTGCCAGGCTGTCATTGAGCCACGAAGGGTGAAGTGGGTCTGAGCTACTAACAAGATAGTTTGATAATGCTAATTAATAACCTGTCTATCAAGGAGGCGAAGTAGATTCCAAACCAGTTCTATCTACGTGGATAGAAACGAAAGGAGTGGCAAACCCCGGACGCTTAAAGAAAATAATGCTTGACGTAGATC